TTCACTCAAAAAAAAAAAAAGGAAAAAAATTGATCACTTGTCCCAATTTCCTATTCCCTTTTTCATTCAGTACGGGGATTGGTAATGTAAAATGTTTTTACAAAATTTTATTTTAATAATGTATTAGTCCGTTGATTCGTCTATATTAATATAAATAACATTTTAACATATATATTTATTTTTTAATACAAAAAATGGCCTTTTATTTTGATGCGGCTCCTTCAACTGCTAATTTTATTCCACCCGAAGGCTAGTTATAAAAAGTCATTGACGCATATGATATTTACATATTTTGGTTTATCATAATACTCATATATTACTTTGTTAAAAAATTTATTATCGTATAATGTCAATATTATTTATAACATTTATAGAAGTAATATTTTTTATATAATGGTGAATATTTAATGTTTATTAATATTATTTGTTGATGTGATTAATTTAAAAATATATAAGTAAATATAATGTTTGTTAGGAATGTGATAGATCTCGATATTTTAGGTACAAATATATGATATGTATATACACCATAGTTTTTAAACCCGCCCGGTAATCGACCCGAGCAGGTCTCTGGGTCATCGATAACCGGTTCAACCGTTGGGTCACCGAGTCAATTGTTGGACCGGATAATTAATTTTAAAATTTTTAAAATTATATATAGAGTATTTTCGTCATATAAATATACATAAAAGTAACAAAATTATATGTTTTGTGGATAAAATTTGTACATTAAAGTGTTAATAATTTGTTTCTCATGATAATATTACCATATCTATCGTTTCGTGAAAAAAAAATGATAATATTACCATATAAACATATATACATAGTTTTATTTTGAACATAAAAAAAAATTAAAATAATATATATCGCCGTTGACCCGTTCAGGTTTTGACCGGGTCATTTGTTGCCCGGTCCAAATAGTCCACTGGGTCGACCCGCGGGCTGATCCGAGTAAAAAAAAACTATGATATGTGCAAAATTTAAAATATATGATATGAATATCTTGAGATACAAAAGACATTTTTTTTATGACTTATTACCATAATTAATCATCCGTAATTACCTAAATTGTATCTTTAAAACATCACATAAAATATTTAAATAGTTTCCAAAATTAGTAAACAAAGTTTTTTTGGGAAATAGTTTTCTATTTAAAAAAATAATCAAATATTTTTATATATATAGATAGTAATTTTCTTTTTCATTTTTTATAGTAATAAGTTGAAACTTGAAACTTGCAGAAACTCCGCCGGCTTTCATGGCGGCTTCGAGCATGCTCTCTCACCATTATCATCATCTCCATCTAGAGATGTTAAACGAGCTAGCCCTAGCGGTTTCGGGGTAGCCCTAGTGGGGTTCGAGTTAAACGATCCGGGTCAAAAAGTTCGAATTTAAACAGGCTACT